GCTGGAGATGGAGCAATGACAGGCAGATTTGACCTGGTTGGGACGCCAGGACAGGCTTCAGGAAGGGATGACTGAAAGGATGATGTCCAAAGGAAGCAGGGATGGGCCAGGGAAGAGTGAAGGTAGAGTATTCAGGGCAGAGGAAACAGCCTATGCAAAGGACCTGAGGCAACATGAGCAGGTGCCTGCAAGGAGCTGTTTGGCTTCCTAACTGGCTATCTAGGGTGGATGGTGGTGGCTATCACTGAGCTAGGGTGGAATGCCCCTCTCCTCTCTGCAGTATTTCTTTTCTTTTCTTTTCTTTTTTTTTGAGTTGGAGTCTCACTCTGTCACCCAGACTGGAGTGCAGTGGCCGCTTCCGGCCACCGCAGCCTCGACCTGCTGGGCTCAGGCGATCCTTCCGCCTCAGCCTTCCAAGTAGCCGGAATTATAGGTGCACGCTACCACGCCCGGCTGATTTTTTTGATTTATTGTAGAGATGAAGTCTCGCTGCCCAGGTGGGTCTCGAACCCGCGGGCTCAGGCAACATTCACCTCAGCCTCCCAAAGGCGCGGGATTACAGGCTGAGCCACCGAGCCCGGCCTCTCTGCAGTATTTCAAAGCTCTGCTGGTCACCAGCCACACCACGGGTTAAAAGGCAAAGACCCTCTTCATGTGTTTCATGGTTCTAGCCTCCTCTAGCTGGCAATAAGACATGTAAAGCCTTGGCATCACAGCTGGTACTCAACAAATGACAGCCACCTGCTGGGCCCCCTGAGGTGTGACCACACTGTGCCTCCAGGTCACCCACCGCAGCCTCTCTCCTGGAGCTGCTGGCCTTTTCCTGTCGAGACCTTTCTCACGCTGACACTCTTACTTCCTTGGGGGGCATCTGGGACTCCCCCTGTGGTGGAAGATTTTGTCATCTCAAACTTGAACCACCTCATCTTCGTCTTGGAAGATGGAGCAAGAGAGGAAGGGAACTGGTCACTGGTGCTGGACCCGAAGCCTCTTCTAAACTAGCTGTGTGACCAGAAGGGAGTCTCTTTTCCTATCTAGACCTTGGTTTACCTAACTGTAAAATGGGTGTGGGGCACCGGACTGGAGACTGTTCCTGAACCCCTGTATTTCCAAATCTCTGGATTTTCCTCTATGCTCAAAGGAGCATGGTTGGAAGCAGGAACAGCCTTCCTCCTCAGGGTGAAATCCTGGGGGACTGCCGGAGCCCCACCCCACTCATTCCATTTTCCCTCAACTCTTGACACAGCCACCTTTTGGGGTAGACATCTCCACTTTCTGTCTCTCTGGCCTTCCAGTCCTAGGGGTCTTCCTGAATCATGAATTCTAGCTAGTCCAGCCTTTCCTCCTCCTGCCTGGGGGCTCACTCACAGCAGGTTGGCCACTGCCCCCTGCCCGTGCTCGCGCCTGTCCCCACCAGGAACACATCCTCCTCTCCATCTCTCTACAGAAGCCTCTGCTCAGATCCATGTCTTCCGTGAGACCTTCCTCCCAGCACATTTCTCTACTCCTTTCTTACCTGGAGTTCAGCCTTCCTCGTTTCTGTGCCAGATCTTCTGATTGGTTGCTGTCTCCACACAGCCAGCACAGACTTCTTGCTCCCCCCCACCCTGCCCCCAGGGCCATGGACTGAAAGTGTCGGATAAAGGTTGGGGATCATTAGCCAGAGAAACACTGGAGCCTTTCTCTCCTATGCAAAGAAAGTCCCAAGGGAAAACCCAGAACTTGCCTTCTTGGGAGGGTCCCCAGCTGACCCCTGGGGATTTCTTTGCCTTGGTCATGTTCATCTTCAGAAATGGGACCACCTTGCCATTTCCCCCACATTCTGGTCCAGACTCTGAGTTATGCCCCCATATCCCCTGTTCCTAACAAAGCCTTCCTCAGAGGAAAAGAGCTTGGACACACAATACTTGCCAACAAAAGCAGCCATTGTAGCCCCCGGGAAGGGGGTGGGAGTAGAGAAACAGGGTGAGGTTTTGCTTTCCGCTTGCCGAGACTGGATCCAGCAAAGGTCCCAGCTCTGGAGTCAGGCGTTGGGGTCCTGGCTGTAATCTGTCCCCCTTGGCTTGCCCTCCCTGCTTGAGGCAGGAAGAAGGGGGTGGAGTAGAGCCAGGGCCCCTGAGTTTTCTAGGCGAGTTTATCTGCGATGACCCCATAGCAAAAAGAAAATAAGCATTTCTTATACAATGACTTTCCTCTCCTGTGCCATAGGATTCCCACTCTGCAGCTTGGAAAACGGAGACCCTGAGAGAGAAGCCATCTTATCCTGAAATCATTAAGTGAGTTTGCAGAGGGCCAGAATCAAGAAGCTCCAAGCTGGTCATCTCCCAGCTTCTCCTTCAATTCCTTCCAGCATGCGCACGCACACACCTCTCACACTTGCTCCATCAGTCCTCACACACAGACCACTGTCTGGCTCTTAACTTCATGAATCTTTTTTTGTTTTTTTTTGAGGTAGGGTCTCACTCTGTCATCCAGACTGGAATGCAGTGCAGCCTCGACCTCAGGTGATCCTTCTGCCTCAGCCTCATGAGTAGCTGGAACTACAGGTATGTACCATCACGCAGGCTTTTTTGTGTGTGTGTGGTAGAAATGAGGTCTTGCTATGTTGCCTAGGCTGGTCTCGAACTTCTGGGCTCAAGCAATCCTCCCGTCCCAGTCTCCTAAAATGCTGAAATTACAGTGTGAACCACTGCAGACACGGATCTTAAAGGAAAGAGGAACTCGACTCTTCCCAAACTTAATGTAGATCAGTTTGGTGGTGCCATTTCCAAATAACTGAATGCTCTGATGTTGCTTGGAATACAATACACTTTAGCTCGCTGAAACTGCTTCTTAAATGCATTGGTCCTCCAGAACCTTGGCATCATTTCAAAGATGGAATCATTCTGTATTCCACAGTTATTAAAAAAAAAAAAAAAAGAGGAAAAAAAAAAAAAGAACCTGGCCGGGTGCGGTGGCTCATGCCTGTAATCCCAGCACTTTGGGAGGCTGAGGTGGAAGAATTGCTTGAGCCTAGGAGTCTGAGACCAGCCTGGCAACATAGTGAGACCTTGTCTCTACAAACACTAAAAAAGGTAGCTGGGTGTGGTGCTGCATGCCTGTAGTCCCAGCTACTCAGGAGGCTGAGGAAGGAGGATCGCTTGAGCCCAGGAGTTTGAGGCTGTGGTAAGTCATGATTGTGTCACTGCACTCCGCCTGGGCAACGGAGTGAGACCCTGACTCAAAAAAAAAAAATCTCTCTTTAATTCCCATCTCTGGATTATTTGAAATGTAGGTTATTTGCAAACTGTTGGGAATATATTCACAGAGTGAAGCCAGAGTATGGGTTTTCTGTTGGGCTGCCTGCTCTGACTCAACACTGTTGCAAGGCCAGCATTAACTCACATCTCTCAGACTCTTGGTTCCTTCCATCTTGGGCAGCAGCAGGTGCAGCTGGTGGTGGGGAGGGCAGTTGCCATTTATTTATAGCACTTATTTCGTGCTATAGTTAACACCCATTTCATAGATGAGGAAACTGAGGCTCGGAGCTAGGATTTCAGCTAAGGCTGCCTGTGAAGCCAGGGCTCTCTCTTGACTTTGCTCAGTCCTGCCCTTGACTAGGACACAGGCGAGTCGGTGCACCCTGGCTGTACTCTGAACAATGAGTAGCTCTGAGGGGCCATAGTTAGTGGGATGAGACCATCATGAAAGACACAGGGAGATGCCCTCTCCTGGGGGGCTCACCGTTCTCCACCCCCTTTCCCAAAGGCAGTCGGACGCCCCTTTGGCCCCCTGGCTCTGGAACAGAAACAGAGAGCGGGCCCTGCAGCCGAGAAAGGGGGCGGAGCGGCCCTGGAAAGCGGATTCCGGCTGTCACTCCGGG